AGGCACTCACAACTCACAGCAGCTGCTAGAAGCATCAGAACAGGCTTAATCAACATCAATGCAGGAAGATTTGGGGTTCAGGCTAAGAACACATCTCCCTTCCTGGAGTAGGATGCATACAGCTGTTTGATAACCTTGACACATGTGATAAACATAAAGGAAAATAGCTTCCAGAATGGAAAGGAAGCTATAGAGCATGGCTGAAGCTGATAAAGTGCCTGCTCCTCCTTTTCAATATCATCCATGTTTCATTTGTTGGTTTGAGTCTCAGATTTCCCTCTATACACATTGCATCATCTCTCTTTCAATTCTTCCAGGTACTGCTGGAAAAGAGCAGAAGATTGTGTTGCTCTCTGCATCGCTCAGGATCCAAAACGCAAACAGCCTTATAAATAACTCCTCTGTCACTTGGCTTTGAGGATAACCAAGTTTTAACCTACCTACCTTAATTATATTCTACTCAGAATGCCTGGAAATTTGAATACTCTAACACAATGATGAAGTGGAGTCAAGTGCTGTGCCCAATTAAAACTTTTTCCCCCAAGTAGTTAAAGTTTTAGCAAAATTTATAATCAGTATTTTTTTTAAGATCTAGTGTTTTGTTAGATTTTATCTGAAAGGAAATGACAACATATCGAAGTAGCAGGATTACATATGTAGTAATACCTGACACTATCTAGATTAAACTAGATTCCTTTCAAATGCAAGTCTCTGCCACAAAATGTAGAAAGGGAGACATTGGACAGATAGTGTTACACTTCTTAGGTAACAGGCTGGATGCTGTGTGCATGCTACACTGAACATAGCCCTGAACATGGGACTAAACAGGAGCATCTGGGTCATGGGTGTGCTCCTGTGCAGCAGAATTCTCAAGTCAAATTCACCTTTAGAGGTATGTTAACGGATTAGAGAGCAGAAAAATTATTATAATCAGTTTCTATTAACGGCTGCTTCTTTTTGAACAATGAAGTTTCTGGCAGAAATAATAAATGTCAAATTATATTTTGCTGCTTTTATTCCAAGAACTCTGCTGAAGAGTTTTTGTCTTGGTTTTAGTTAATTGTTCTTCCCATTGTCATCAGAAAACAGGTTGCTCAGATACCTGCAGGTATTATCAATTAAAGATTTGAGAAAGCAAAAGTTTCTGATTCCTGATTTTTTTTTATTTCTAATTAAGTTCAGAAAAATATTTGTTTCATCTATCACCTATAAACCTCATTAAACTGAGATGTCATATGTGTTTTATTGAAGTGTTCATTCATCTCATGAGAAAGACACAGATGCCTTGGCTTTAATCTATAACTTCTATTTATCAGCAGCAGCTTTCCTAGCAAAGCATACAGCAGAACTCTCCTTCATCCTCCTGATAACAGGGGACCTAACTTGCAAAACTGAACCCAGTCCTTAAAGGTGTTATAGGTGTGAGCTGCCACACACAAAATGGGAACAAGGGAGTAATTTTTTCTGGTTACCATTGGTACTGGTGTGTTTATGTGTCTGCAGAATTGACAGCTTGAGTGAACATCTATGATTGAGGGATCTAGGGCACCAAAGTGTTATATTTTTAGTCCAGCAGTTACAGGGTAATCACAGAAATATTTCACACTGAATAATAAGTGAATAAAACACAGCAACATGTAGAACAAAATCCAGAATAACCAGCAGCTCTTCATCCACCCAGAGGCACTGAAAACCATGGAACTTTCAGAATAAAAGTTAAGGTATCTCCAGATTAGATACCTCCGTGATATCCACTCAAACTATACTTATGATGCCTTTTACAACAACTTGTGCTTGAACACCTAAATTCTGTCCAAGTCACACAGTAGGTGCCAGACCAGTAGTGCTAAACCAGAGCTCCATCATCCTCAGTTTTGCCACAGCCCATGATCAGAAACCATGACTTAGTAGCTCATCAATTTATTTCTATTGAGGAGCTCCTGTCTTCTAAGAACAAGGTAAGAGGTGCTAAGGCCCATAAGTATGGAAAAAAATCAGGATCAAAACAGCAGGAGATGATTTATAAAAACAGTGAAACACCAAGTACCAAGAGAAAAGAATTTTGTTTTCTAGATATATTATCTTTTGTGAATTATTTCTGTTGTTTTGGTGTCCAATTTTCTTCCCTTTCCCCTCCCACTCTCTCTATTTCATTCAATAGTTATTTATGGCCAGAGTACAAATGAGAGCACAGAGAACACTTGTCATTTACTCCTTCCAAGGTGCTTAACCACTGTGATTCAACTGTGAAACCTGCAACTTCCCTTTTCCTAGGTTTACAAATAGTTCCAGAGGGCTTCTGGGCAGGCAGTGAATAATTTTCAGGTGCTTTGCTCTTCCTCCATAATGTATCTGTCCTAAACTGCCCAAGTTATGGTACATTTGTATTTAGATGTACCCACACTACTCTGCTCAGGAGGAAGTTTGCCACATGCAAATCTGGTTCCTGGAGCCCTCTTAGCTGCTCTTTCTGTGTATGTGCAGTCAGGTCAGCAGGCACTTCAGCATCCAGGTCTGGAGACTCCAGTGCTGGTCATGCCTCAGAGAAGGATTTCAGGCTCAAGTCAGAGGCAAAGTTAGGCATGTTGTTTGCAGAGTACCCTAATGCACCGCTCCTGACATTGTGCTTGTTCATGCAACACACCTGGCAAAACCATGTCCTACAGAATCACTGACGTTCAAGAAGGCCTCCAAGATTGTCAGATCCAACGTTTGATGGAACACCAGCTTGTCAGCTGGAACTAAGTACCACATCCAGTCATTTCTTGAACACCCCTAGGAATGGTGACTCCACCACCTCGCTCAACAGTCCATTCCAATGTTTAACAAAGCTTTCTGTGAAGAAATTCTTCCTTATGTCCAACCTGATTCTCCCCTAGAACACCCTGAGACTTTTCCTCTCATACTGGTTGCCTGGGAGAAGAGGCCCACCCTCACCTCACTAGACCCTACTTTTAGGTAATGGTGGAGCACAATAAGGTCTCCCTGGTGTGGTGGTGTGAGGTCCCCAGGATGAGGTGAGAGATGAGAATTTGACTCCATGTTCTCAGAAGGCTGATATAGTATTTTATGATATTATATTAAAAGAAATTATATACTAAAACTATACTGAAGAAAGAGACAGGATCCATCCGAAGGCTAGAAAAGAATGAATTATAAAAACCTGTGACTGACTCAGTCTGACACAGCTGGCTGTGATTGGCCATTAATTAAAAACAATTCACATGTTTGGATAAACAATCTCCAGAACACATTCCAGAGGAGCAAAACATGAAGAAGCTGAGGCTTCTCATCTTCTCAGGAGAAGAGATCCTGGCAAAGGGATTTTTCAGAAAATATCATGGGGACACCCTGGTCTTTTCTCCAGGCTAAACATCCCCAGGCACTCCTCATGTGCCTTAGACAAGATACATTTCATACGATTTACACACACGACTGCCTTTCTTTACAGCTCTTTTTATACCTGGTACACCTGCACCCTGGTTTGGATGCTCACTTTCCTGATCTGAATCAGACAGATATTGGGACACCTGATACATAGCAAACTTGGTACATTTTGACAGGATTGTGCTAACCTTATTAGCACAGTATTGCACAGACAGACCATCTGCTGTTTGATGCTTCTGCAAGACTCAAAAGTAAAACCTTTATACAAATAAATATTCTAAGCAGTATTAAAATAAAATCTACACAGGTACAAGGCTATACCTGCACCATTTTTGATAAATTATTGAACACATCCAGCATTGTCCAGAATCACAAGCTTGAGGTGATTTGAAAGCTTAGAGATACACACAAAGAAGTTTGAATCCACCTAGAAGCATCCACAGTTATTCCAAGGCAGAATCTCACCTATCCTAGAGGTCAGCAGGAGTTTTTTCTTTCACTTCATATGGGAAACAGTGATGCAGCCTTATCCTGCCAGCTATTGATTAAAGCAGCAAGGCTTTCCCTGGACTTTTTCAGTGCCTTTAGAATGTTTAATCCCAAGGAGATCACAGGTAAACTTTGTAAAGAGAAAGCTAAACCACTTGTTTTTAGCTATAGATGTATTTTGATTTCTCTTTATAGCATTTAAATCATACAAAGAGTGATATAAGCATTATTATAGTACTTCATATTGAGCAAGGAACTTACAGTCAGTCTTCCATGCAAATCAGCAATATCGATGAAAATATTTGAAGTAATTAATGTTTCCTATTACTCCTAGGCTAGGCAGGCTTGATCTCATGGGGTACTTAGGTTCTTATTTTGAGCTGTGCTAACTTACATGAATGATGGAAGTAAATTGGTATGTCTCACTGCATTCCTCCTAACTATGGTCTCATATTCCAACACTTAACAATAGTTTCTTAGCAAGGTTACGTGATTAATGATATGTGATTACCATCATCATCCATTCATAATAAATAGTATTGCTTGAAGTAACTTAAAAATTAAATAATCCTGATACAGCATATAAAGCTTGAGCCTTCACCAGCCCTTTCCATAATCTTGGAAAAAAACCTACAAAAAGCAAGTTCATGAAAGACATGTGTGTTTATGGTTATGAGAGAACTAGAAAAGAGTTACCCACACAGATCATGTAGTAAACATATCCGAGATCAACAGGAAAGCATAAGATTGTCCAATTAAAAAACCCACAACCAAAAAAACCCACAGAAAAGTTAAGACAAGATAATGATTCAATGCTAGCTACACTTGAGCTTGCAATAGATAAACTGACAGCTTATAAGAGTCAATAGAGGAACCCTTCTTCCTCTGTGCTTGCTCTACTTTTAGATGTTGCTTGTTTATTTGAAGCAGCAAACCCTACCAGAGGCATAAAACTGACTAGGTGGATCAGGAAACTGGTAAAAGCAGGTGTTGTAGTAAAGTTTTTCCTCAGACCCACACAGTATTTACTTACACCTGTAGATCAATCTCATCTTACTACATGAAGATAACAAATGCTTTCATTCTGTTGTTAAAAACATTAATTGTACTGATTTCAGTTCCCCAGTTACATCTAATAGAACAGATGCAGAGAAAGCAATCCTCCCACCACCATTGCATATCAGTAAAGGAAAAAAATACTTAACCTATTTAAAAAATTCCTACATAACCAGCTTGTTCTTCATATTGGAGACATTTTAAGGCTTTGGAGTGTTTTTATTTTGTTTCTTTTCAGTTAACAAGCCAGATGCACCTGAATGAACACTTCAGACTCATGAAGGTCATCACCTCCTGGTGTGTTTCTTTTTCAATACACAAGTATTGTAGAGCTACTCTTCAGTATCAAAGGATGCAGAATAACACCTGATTGGACCCAAAGTAAAACTGTTGATTTTTAAAGTAATAATGAAGGAGAAAAATTTAATATCCACCTCTCAGCTCTAAGTACCTGATCTACAGGTCTTACCACTGTCTGGTAGAGAAAGATCTATGCTGGATCAAATCAAAAATATTTTCAGTCATTGTCCAAAAATTGTAGAAGTGAATAAAAACTCTTGCTTTAAATGTCACTGGAATTTTGATGGAAGCTTGACATCTAGAGTGATGTTTACACACACACAGAGTCAGACAGTTTGTATTCCAAAAATAAGCCCTTGAATTGTGATATCTTTAGGGAAATCATATCCCCTTTTTGGGATCTGCAAATGATAAAACAATTCTTTCTAAATCATTGTTGCTCTAGGCTAAATATATCTCCAGGATCTTTGGCCTGCTAATTCAGTGGGAATTGCATGAGGACCACATACGCAAAGATCTGAACACTGCTTTGTATTTTTAGAATTGTTAAATAGGTACATGTACATGGCTAAATATAATGCTAAATAAAAACTTCTGACCATTGTTTTGGAGATAAATTACACTGACATTGAAGCAAAACTATTTGAGTTCTAAAACCACTTCATTATACTATCTCATAAGCTCCAGAGAAAGATGTCAT